TGAGGAGTAAAGATTTGTTCCCATGATGTAGGCTCCCTATTTACCTCTCTTATTGTTTCTCTTGCTGAGAAAAAAACTTTTTAGTTTGAGTAAGTCCTATTTGTTGGTTTTAGCTTGTATTTTTGCACCTCCTTTCTGATTAGGCTCCTCAGCAGCCTCGTGCGGCAGAAACCATCTGCAACAGAGGAGCAGTTCCAGTGGGTACTTGTGGACTTCACGTACCTGGTGGAGATGTGCTGCCATGCAGAGGAAAGTGACATGTGTTTTCAGAAAGAGGTAACTGTTTCCTTGTTTATCCTTAAACAGGAATGTTACTGCGAGRAAAAAACCTTTCCTCACTGCAACCATGAAAAGGTTAGAACATCAGGCCAGGTGGATTTGAGTAATTAACTATATTTCATCTTGGAATAGTTGGATATTTATGTGTATTTGAAGAAATTTGGCACAAATAGAGATGCATACAGCAGTCATGACACCAGATAGACTGGRAATGTTTAGCATTGGGTATGACAAGAAGGAGGAATCCGTGTAACTATAGAGAAATTATGTCCTTGGAAAATACAGAAGAATTAAAATTTTTTTATTTTTTTGCACAAAATTAACAGTTTAAAAACCTGTCTGGGAAATCTGGAGATTTGTTTTAGAAACGTAGGGGCACAATCAGGTCACTAACTATGTTTGGGAGAGAAACTAGGGAACCAGGTAAACAGATTTTATTTTCTCAGTGGTCAGAAGTTCATGAGAGCAGGAGTTAAAGAACAAACAGGACAGAGCACTGAGAGGATCAAGAGACCTGTGTGAACACACACCCCAAGCTAACTACCAGGACAATATTTTCTGTAATTTATCTAAGTGCATGTAATTAACAAGTAAATTATTTTTTCACAAGTTGGTGAATTATGCAACTTACATTGCAAAGAAAATCTTGGTAGGATGTGCCACAGCAAATTCATGTAAACTCACCAAAGGGGAATTAATGCAGGAGTACCTGGGTTGGACCGGCAGAGACATGAACTCAGGAGCAGAAATTAAAGTACAGCAGGTGATAGAATCTGAGTACAGGAAGGTGAGTATGTGGTTAACAAAAAAAGAGGAAGTATCTTGATGCTTTGGCAAGCCAGGCTGGGGCTGATTAAGAGTAAGGGTAAGTTCAGCAATGGCCCTGGATAACACTTTCAAAAGTAATAATTTTCACTACTGCCTTAATTACCTGCAGTGGCTTCTTTCCACTATTCAGCTAAACTTTGCATGTGTTTATATTGATATTCACGTAGCTACAGATGCTCCTCAACTTATGATGGGGCTACATCCTTACAAGACCCTAAGTTGAAAATTTCACAAGATGAAAATGTGTTTAATACACTCATCTTCAAACATCATATTGCAGCAACCCAGTACACTGTAGAGTGTGGTTGTTTACCCTTGTGATTGTGGGACTGACTGACGCTGTTCAGCATGTCTATAAATAGTATAGCATATCACCAGCCTGGGCAAAGATCAGAATTAAAGTTCAAAGTGCTTTCTACTGAAACTGTATGGCTTTCATACCATCATAAAGTCAAAATATCCTAAACCAYCATAAGTAAGGGACCACATATATAGACTAGTCAAGGGCAGGCAAATGACAGTCCTCAGGATAAATCACTCCTGCTTCCTGTTTATGTATCAGTAAGAGTTTATTGGCAGATAGACTGCTGTGGTTTGGATAAAAGGTTCATGTGCTGGAAGCTTAGTTCCTAGTGTGGTCATGTTGAAGTGRTGGACCTACTGTCAGGGCTTGGTCATTGAGGGTACTGCCCTCAGAAGGGATTAATGTAGTTCTCATGGGACCGTAGTTATTTCCCACAACAGCAGGTAGTCATAGAAGAATAAGCCTGGCCCTTGAATCTCTCTGGCTTCCTGTCTTGCCATGTGGTCTCTCCATATATACTCCCACCATTATGTTATCTGTCAGGATGCTCCCACCAGAAGCCAGATAGTRCTATATGATCTTAATCCTTCAGCCTTCAAAACTGTGAGCCAAATAAACTTCTTCTCTTTCTACATTACCCATCCTCAATGGTTTTGTTATAGCAAGAGAATGCAGACGAAGGACAGATCCACCCATTAATTTATCGCGTGTCTATAGCTACTTTCTTGTTATARTGGCAGAATAGTTAGGATAGAAAATATATGAACTACAAAACACAAAATATTTACTATCTAGCTCTGCACAGAAAATGTTTGCTGACCTCTGGAATAGTACAAAATGTTTATTTTTAAATCCATTTTAACTTTCATAAAGCATTCAGAAAACATGTTCTCACCTGAGTAACAACCTCATATCCCACACATAAAAATACTTCCACTGAAGGGGCTGTGTCTGTAGATTCCCAAGGGAGTGTTTTTGAAGTGATCTTGCTTTTGAGGTTGAATTCTACTTGTTCAAATTATTTCATCAATAGTGTTACAGGAAGATTCCTGTTTCCTTTTACTTAAAATTGTTTTCCTAAAAGAAAATTTCAATTGAATGATGAAAAAGGACAAATATTGTTCATTTTTTTTCCTTCCTTCATTACTTTAGGATCTCTCCCAAAATTCAGGGGGAAAAACAGAAGTTATAGGAAGAGTATGTCATGCTAATTAAAATTAAAAATACAGACAAAAATGCTTATTTTACATAATGATGCCAATCTCTGAAGTTTAGTCAGGTTTACCTTTGTGCAATTATTCAAAGGCAACATTCTCAAATTTTAGTGTATAACAGAATCACCTGTGAAAGCTTGTTAAAATGAAATAAATGTGTTGCACTTGGAGTTTCTGATTCAGTAGGCCTGGGGTGGGGACTGATCATTTGCATTTCTGACAAGCTCCTGGTGCTKCTGCTGCTGCTGCTGATTTGGGCAGCACATTTTAGGAAGCATTTTTCTAAGGTGCTCCTAAATAATCATAACCTGCCTCTCCTCCTCTTCAGTATTTCCTTATGACTAACTCTTGGTGAGAAGTTGGAACAAGGACGGTAACAGAAATAAACAATTCAAAAATAACATAATTGTGAAAGAATTGGGGGACATAAAATATGAGGATAAGAAGACAATATATTCAAAATAACTGAATATAAAAATGCCTAGTATACAAGGTAGGAATAGAATATGAAAATATTTTGGAATCTTATCATTAAATTTTTTGCCTCTGGCTTCTACATTTGTGGAAGGAGTCCGGGATTGACTGTAGTGCAAAGGAATAATACCCAGGAACTTCCCAGGAGTCTCTACGAAACCCAATCCCAGGAGTGAGGAGGCATAGGTGCTCCTAGGGCTGAAAAGACTAACTGCTCCAAGGACCTACAAGGCATATACTTTGTTTTCTTTTCTGAGATAATAGCAGTCAATTATGTGAGCCTGTTCTGCCTGTTGAAAGAAAAGTGGGCAAGCTTAAAACCTGCCTGTCCAGCTATATCTGTTGGGAGGGAAAGCAATTTATAGATAAGATGGAAGCCATATTTTAAGAAGTAAGCCCAAAATAAAGGATACTTCTAAGGAGAAAAAGGAGAGACAAAGTCAATATTACATTGTTGGCAAAAGTAAGAAGGAAACATAAAAGAGGGGAAAAATCAGGAGATTCAGATTATTTTATCTACACAGAGTGAAATAGTTTAGGGCGGATATAACCTGTTCAACCCATTCACCAATTTACCAGTGTGAATTGGGGCTGTCCAGAGAAGAGGCATTATGCATTTTGTGAAGTAATGTGAATTGTAGTCATTAGCAGGCTCAAAGAGAAAATTGTATTGACAGAAATTCTTTAGGCTACTCACAGAAAATCCTCCCTGTGAGGAATGAGAATTAAAGCCTGAGATATTAATCTACAAACCAATAAACTATGAGGATATTCTATTATGATCCCATATTCTGTTATGAAAATTCTGCTATGAAAATAACCAAGTTAATATGAATTAGCAGAAGGTTGGACAGGTTGAAATGATGGTTTGAAAAAACATATGAAATTTAACAAAGAAGAAAAGGTAAAGTTTTGCTGTTGGATGAGGCTTACTTAGCAGAAATTCATGTGAAGAGACCTGTTGGCTTTAATAGTCTATATGTAACCATGAGACTCACAGTTTGATTGCTCTACTGTCAAAGGTACTGCAATATTGGCATGCATTCCTGAAGGAAAACTATGATTGGATTACACACATTGATAACCTCAATTTATATTGATCTTATCATTTGGGGTTCTATAATTCATTGTCTCTTGATATTCTACATCATCTTGAAAATGATAGAAGTAATACATAAATTTAGCAAAAGTTCAAGTAGAGGAGCAGAGTAGCTTCCTCACTTCCAAGAGGCAACCAATCTTAAATTTTCACTACTAGTAACCTGTGATTTTTATCATCCTTTTAATAGTGTTTTAAAATGTTACCATCACTTAAAAATACAGTGCACTTACACTCACTTCAGTCATCCTGTCTGTATCCAAAGACTCTCTGTGTGTATGTGTATGTGTGTGTATATRTGTGTGTGTGTGTTTATTGTTAGTTTTAATTGGTTATATTCTTTTTCTTGATCCTTCAACTTTACTCAGCGTCTAATAATCCTCTGAGGACTTGATTGACATGTCTAAACTTCCTTTAATTTCTGTGCAACCTTTCCTATCTTTTATTTTTATATTTTAAATATTTATTTTTTAGTTGTAGGTGGACACAATATCTTGATTTCATTTTTATGTGGTGCTGTGTTTTGAACCTAGTGCCTCACGTGTGCTAAGCGAGCCCTCTACCACTGAGCCACAACCTCAGCCCACCTTTCCTATCTTTTAAAAAAGCTATTCTATGACTTCTGCTTTGTCTAGATTTATACATCCTGCCTTGTTTCTATAACATTTATGTCTTTTGTTAATAGGTTGCTGCTGTAATCTGGGAGCTATTAAACAGTCTATTCAATGGCATGTTTACTTGAAATATTATTTATAACAGTACCATGTTCTATGTTGACAAAACAACAAAGTCCCTACCTTCATCACACCACTAAAATATTTCAGGTTCTTACATAGTTTCTGTGACAGAATATTCCATCAACTTAGAGCTGTATTTTGAAAACTCCTCTGGGTTAATGTTTCAGTTTGAATTAAGTTACTTTTAGATCCAAGTAGTATCTATCCACATGAATTTTCTTTTCACTGCAATCCTGGGTAAATTGGACTATTTCTATTATCCCATGTTATATTCTTTCTTGAAGTCTTTTAAGTTTTGTTGGGCTGCATTTTCAAGTTATGTCTGTCTTTTGTTATTTTTTTTTTCAGAATGAATACCTTGGAGAAAAACTTTTTGTTTTTTTGCATTTTTAAAGATCATTTTGTCCACATATTTGCATAGCACTTTTGCTAGTATGCTAGTGGGAATTCTTTAATTGTTAATTAAATTAAATTCTGGCTAATCTAACCTAGGTAAAAAATGAATTTATTTAAAGCACAATGGTGGCTTTAAGAATCTGTGGGAAGTTTGAAAAAATGGACTTGGCACTAGACAGGAACAAAAGCAGCGCAGAAATCAATGACTCTCTGGTCTTTTGCTGCTGATACATCTTTTTATGGTTGCTATTCTGAGATCCTATTTATCCACTTTGATATATTGGTCAATATTATTCCCAACTGCTTTCTTTTTTCTCACTAGAAATTCATCAACATCTCTTACACTGATAGTGCTTTTTTTATAGTTTTTAAAACATTGACAGGGTGTCTTCTCTTTTTGTATATTTTTACTGTTATTGCATTGTGATTGCAGAAAAGGTGAGTAACACATTTTAAAAGGATATGGGAAATTGTTAAGTCCAGAGTATACAGAGTAGAAAATGGATTAAAAGCCATGTCATGGGGATATGGAGGAATACACTGGTAATACTTATCCTAAATCTGAGGGTGGTGACATGATAGCAGTCCCCCAACAGGCCCAGCATCATAGGAAATCAAACAGTGGGAAATTTGAACTCAGTGTAAAGAAGATTTTTCTTTTCTATCCTCCACATTCCCTCACATGAGTCCAAGTTTTACATAACCTGTAACTAAGTCTTGGATGGGCCTCGTCTCTAGCTGTGGCGTTATCATCACTGGTTTTATTTCATTCTGGGCCATTCTCATTATTAAAAATATTTTTCTTAGAGACCTTTCTTTTACCTCATCTTAGTCAGAAACTTTTCTTTTTACAGAATTTTTTATCATAACAGAAATTTACCAGGGAACCATGGAATAAGTGTGGTCAGGAAGGACTGATGTAGGAAAAGATTGTTCAGAGAAATGGACAAGATTAAATATTGAAGGTCTTGGGTTACACTTATAAAGAACTTTCCCATGAAAATTGATTTAAAAAGTCATGGATTASCAAAGAAGCATCTTGACCTCCAGAAGCATTTATAAAAACAATCCTAAATAGATTCTAAAGTGTCTGAATGATTTAGTGTGGTACATTTTAAAGAGAGTAGGAGGAAGGACTAAATTAACAGTCTTCTAAAGATTTTCCACAGAGTCCCTGGGGCTCATAGGATTGCTAGCCAGCTGTGCCTGTGCGTGTGCGTGTGTGTGTGTGTGTGTGTGTGTGTGTGTGTGTGTACCTTAACAGTGGGGTTCTGGGGCTCCATTTTCACTGTAGCTCAAGATCTCACTTCATCTGTCTAGGCTGCTACAAATGATTTTTATTGGAATAAAAACTGTACAAGTAAAAACTGAGGAGAACTGCTGGACTGAATATAGAGGTCTATTCACGTCCACATGCAGGGGTGGAAACATGTGATTCAGATCTGGTGCTGGTGTCTCTATACCTCACTGAGTGGTGAAGGGGGCCAGACTAGACTAGTTTTACAATTCAGTAAGAGGTTGATGCTAATGATCTGTTTATAACCTGCAGCAAAAGAGTACAACATTTTTGTGAGGAGAAAAAAAAAAATTTATATATATATATATATATTTGTCCCCAAAGTAGGACAGGGCTTAAAATGAATTGACTCTTTATGCCAAGGGACTAAGTCTGTGGGAAAGTACCTTGAAGAAAGGGTATAGTAGAGCCTATCTTGGGCATAGTAATTCCTGAAGGTTTTTCTACTTGGGGACCATAGTTGTTTAGATTTCTCATTTTTTCTTTCCCATCCACCCCCTCACATTTGTGCTTATTTGCTTTTTTTCTCTAGGGGTCAAAACTGATTGAAAAGTGCCAGTCTTTCCTGGAAGACTAAATAATGCCAGAAATTGTCAACGTAGGATCTTGGCTAAGAAGACCGTTTTGTTTTTCATGAATAATGAAACTCATGTTGATTATTGAAAATAACAATTAACAAATAAATCTTTAGCACCTCACAATGTTATCCAAGAACACTGGCCGAGTGTATACTAAATATCTCCTTTCTACCCAGCAGAAAGCTACTTACYGAAACCCTCAGATGATCCACTCTCCTTTCCCTTTTCTTTTTAAGTTTTTGCCTCTGGAGAGCAGCAGGTAGAGGTAAAGGCTGCCATATCTAGCTGGGAACTGGCTGCTGGGCTTCCACCATGAAAAAGACCTCAAGGGTGATTTGGAATTCTGTCTAWATCACTACTGAAAGTCAGTGGACTTAATTAAGCATGCTTTATCATAAAATTACCTTTTCCCACATATGACACTGATATTGGTACCCTGGGCTTCTAATATATTGATATTAATTTGATCTTTATGTGATGATTAGTCTTTACCCTGGAAATCTTGCTATACATAACCTAAAGAATTTATAATTTGAACTGATTTTTACTTTTGCCAGATTCTTTTGTATAATGAAATAATCAGTAATATTTACTTTCTAAATAGATGCGTACTTTTGATTGGAGAAATACAGAAGAAAAATTTCATTGTCATCATGGTSCTCTTTATTTGATTTTAAATATTGTTTTTCTTCACCACTGTGATTTCAGTATGSTAATACATGTTAGCAAATTAAATMMAAAAAAAAGTTGTGGACTTTATAATGTGTTCAGTTCACTATGCTAGGTACTATAGGAAATAATATAAATATGAATATAGTAAGAACAAATTTATAACGAATTAATATTAGATATAAGCACATAAGGAATTATAATAAAAGGCAAATTTCACATTTCTGTTTTTACAACAGTAGTGAACTGTCATTGTGGTGTACAGGGATTTGAGATCATATATTGTCATTGAAAGAAGTGGCCCTAGCCCAGCTCTAGAAAGTGGGAACAGTTAGTTTCAACAGAGATGTGAGGAAGGTCTTCAGGGAGGGTGAGTGATCCATCTGGCTGTTTTTAAGACAGGAACTCAGTAATGGTGGACAGTAAGGCTTAGTAGAATAGAAAGCTGCAAGGGTGGGTAAGGATTTCCACTAGTTTAACTGTACTATTTATCACACACTTCTCAAGTGCAAAGTGCCAGCTTTTCTGTGTATTATTCACATGACTCCCACAACCGTCCAATAGAGTAGGTACAGTAGGTTCTCCTTATTTCTGGGTTCCTCACCCATGGGTTCAATGAACTGCAGATGGAAAATATTTGAAAAACAATGGTGTCTGTACTGGACACGCACAGACTTTTTTCCTTGTCATTATTCCCTAAACAATATCACTACTATTTACATAATATTTACATTCTCTTAGGTAGCATAAGTAGTCAATAGACAATTTACAGGATGTGGGAGGATGTGGGTAGGTTATGTGCAAACACTATGCCATTTTATATAAGAGACTTGAGCATCCTCAGATTTTGGAATCTGAGGAAAGTCTTGACACCAATCCCCCACAGATACTGAGGGATGACTGTACGATGGTTCCCATTATATAAGTGAGGACACATAAAAAGAATTCCAGACTGAAAGAGCCTAGTTGAAAATGAGGACCTAGATTATGGGTGCTAAGAGTATGGATTCTAGAGTCAGAGGTACAAATCCTACCTATTTCTTCTACTAAAGATTTTAGCAATCTCCTTACCTCTTCATTGATTACTTTTCTCATCTATAACATGGACTTGAAAGAATAATGTCTTCATTGGGATTAAATGTCTTCATTTGCATTAAATGAGTCAATATATGTAAAGCACTTAAAATAGTGCCTAGTGAGTGGTAAATGTATTAGGCAGAACTATATGAAATTGCTCTTTTCTAAGTCAACTATTGATAATTTTAGGTGGCTCAATCCAATAAGTGTTAACATATTATTAAGAAGGCAAATAGATGCCATTGAAGGGTTTTGCCCTCCCTGGTTGCATCCTATTCTCCTTTCCTTTTCCTATGTACTTACCTCAGCCTAATAGTTACAACTGCTAGCTTTTTCTCTTCATCAATTGCCTTGCAAATGGAGTTCTTTCTACTTCAGTTCCTGAAAGCAATCTGAATAGCCCCCAAATCCATAAGAACACTGCCTAACTGTCTTTCACAGAGCCATGAGATAATAAAATATACTCCCATATTAGGGAAAATCACTTACCAGAGTTTCTATATTTCTTTAGCTATTGGATCAGACTGTGAAAAAGCATACTTATAAAGGACATTTTATAAAAATATTTAATAATAAATATTTAATAATTTACTCATTCACTAATTCACTAATTACTTTATTCAACTTATTTTTATTGAGCACATCCTATATACAAGGCACCATATGAAGTACAACAAAGTATATAAAGATGAATGTGACAGGTTCTCTACTGTTAGTAAGAATAATAAATTATCTAGAGTTTAATTTGATCAATATATAAATGGTGAAGTATTTGAACTACATAAAACAAGAAAAATGTGTTTGTGACAAAACTTTATAGTATTATGCAAAATAACTCTTAAATAGACAGATTTTTGCCTCAGAAATTGTGTTAGTTGTTTATTTCCATATAATGAGCTATCCTAAAATTTAGCAGCATATCACAGCAAGCCTTTATTCTCTGTTTCCAAGGATCAGAAATCCAGCAGTGATTGCACTGAGTTTTCTGGGTCTGGGTCTTGCATGAGTTGTAGTCAAACTATTAGATGGGGTAAAGTTATCTCAAGACTTGACAGAGGGTGGAAGATCCCTTTCAAACTGGTCCATTTATGTAGCTCTTGATGGGAGACCTGGATTCCTTGCTGGCTTTTGACAGAGGTGTAAGGCCTCGTGTAATGCCTCATCAGGTAAGTCTTTTCCTAAGACTACTTAGGCCATGGGAGTTGTTCCCCTAGAGCAAGAGAGAGAGAGAGAGAGAGAGAGAGAGAGAGAGAGAGAGAGAGAGAGAGAGAGAACTTGAGAGAGCGCAACGAGGAAGCCACAGTGATTTTTATGATCTAATCTTCAAAGCCTCACATGCTTCCTTTTGCTTTCCCTTATTAGAAGCCAGTCACTAATTATTTTAAAAGAGTAGATTTTAAATATACTAATCATAAAAAAATGATAAGTATGTGAAGTGTTGGATATATTAATTAACTTGATTTAATCATCCCACAATGTATACATATGACATCACATTGAACCCTATAAATATAGAACAGCTATTTTTCAATTAAAAGTAAAAAGAAATCAGTAAGTCCAACTCAATCACAGGTGAGGAGGATTAGGCTGCATCTTTTGAGAGGAAAAGTACCGAAGATTTTATGGATGTATCACAAGTTCAAGACCAGTCTGGGCAACTAAGTGAGACCCTACCCCCAAATAAAAATGAAACAAAATGAATATTAAAAAATAAAAAAGGGCTAGGGATGTATCTCAGTGGCAGAGTGCCCATGGGTTCAATCCTTAGTACCATAAACATACACACACACAGAGAGAGAAAAAAATATTTAACACATTTATTATAGAACGCTTAATAAGTATAGCAAAACTAGAAATACATAATCACTCTTAATTCTGTAGTACAGACAAAATTACATTTAACATTCTTTTTTTGTGTGTACACATACAAATATTAGTGTGTGCATGTACACATATAAACACATATGTATCTGGTTGATAATAAATATTTTGCAATATGTATATATTCTTACTTAACTATATAAAGAAAATTTAGCTCTATAATTCAAATTTGGAAAAAAAATTAATGACTGCATAACATTTTCTGAGTAAATGTGTTGTTTCTTCTTAAATCTTTTTCCTATTTTTTGGACATTTATGTTTTTCACTTCCTTTTGTCACAATAAATGACAATATTATATTTGAAGAATGTCTTTGCATCTCTATTTCTATATAAGATCTTTCATGTAGAATTATAGAATAAGCTTACTACTAACTCGTCTTCAAAAAAAAATCACACCTATTTGTATTTCTATCATTTGTCGGAGTGCCCATCTCATTGTGATTTATTGAGTAGTTAACATTTCTTTATCTTTGCTAATAGAATTTGTCTTCTGTTGACATGCTAGTTACTATGTTATTGTTTTTCAACTCCAAGTTCAGTTCGTTGCCTGCTGTTATGAAAATGAGCACCAGCCCTTTAAATGTTTCCTTTGCAGTTTACATGATGTGATGCTTTGCCAGCAGAGGGCGATGCAGGTGAAAGGAGGCTTTCTTAATTCCTAGGAGCTGGCAGGCCAGATTCCCGGATATAGGACTTTGCTTCTCCACCACTCTGCTCAGAGTGGTTTCTCCAGCCCAAGTTGCCTGTAGGGTGCAGTTTTCTTCAGCATTTGTTTCTCCATCTGCTTCTCCAGCTTTTGATTTGGGCAATGGTGGTCTACCCTGAAGCCCAGGTACAGGCCTCTTCCTTGGCTCAAATTGCTGCTGTCACATCTGAGCACAGTGTCTGCTTGCAGACTCAAGGGGTCAGCGATCTAGCGTGCTTCTTTCCTGGCATTTGTTCCATGCAGCTTCGAAGATGCCCCAGCCTAAATCTTATACAGTATTATTCTAGATTCCTGCAAAACAGCCCCTTCAGCTCCCAGTCTTCGTGCCCACCTTCAACAAAGCTCCTAGTCCCTCTGTGTATCTCCCTCATCTAGTCACACTCCAAAGGTTAGTTCCTGCTTGCCCAGCAAGTGTGTGCTGTTCTGGCCTGGGCAGCCTCCCTAACTTCTATCCAGGGGGCTGCAACCACACCTTTCCCAGTAAATTCTGAAATCCTCTTTCCAATTTCTTCCTTTTTAGGGTTGTCTCCCTCAGCCTTAGGTACCCTTTCACTTTCTCTTACCATCTTTACACATACTCTCCCATCATGACTTCATAATTCTTTGTTTAAGTTACTGCATGTTTCTGTCTGCTGATTGAGCACATACACAAAGAGGTGATCACT